TTGGATTTTCACGCGATTAATTATATTGGGTCGCGCAAGCGCAGTACGACTTGTAACAGCTGTTCGATCACGCGCTAAGCGCGTGATCACGGTTCGCGAGAGTTTCGCGGCTGTCGTGACAGTTCGCGTTGCCGTGGCAACGCGTCTGGCGTCGTTGAACGTGACGTTCACCTGCGCGCAAATTTCGGCGGACGTTACAGTAATATTTATTACAAAAATCTATTATATTTTTTGTATGTAACATTTATAGTATTAACCTAAATGTATAAATATGATAGGAATAATTTTTTCTTAATATAAGTAGCATATTATAAATCTTCTTATATGAATATGAAATGGATATTAACTTATAGAAGATATTAAATCATAATATTATATTTACGGCACTGTATCTACAAAAAACTATATATAATTAAGTATAATATAATTCTGAAATAAAGTCAACACTTAACATGTAAATACTATATTAAGGAGGAATCCTCATTTAGGATGCCGAAAAACGACGATTTTCGCGAATTTTTTTCTCAACAACCATTAAGCGGATCAATACAAAATTTTAGGGTTGTTTTATGACATCTATAGACAATACAAAAATATTTTTTTTATTTAAAAAAACGTTATTTTACATTGTTATATTTTAATATGTTTATACCGCCGTGCAGCTGGAGTTGTCATTTTGTGTAACGTCTAGCGGATCTAATTCTTATCTGAAATAAAAAAACAAATTTTTTATTAATCTTCATGAAATTTTATCCTAAATAAACTAAGAAAACCATGAAAAAGTGCAGAATTAAAGAAATTGTATGAGTTTAAAAAAAAAGTTACAATTTTTACGAGAAATTTTTGGCTTCTTTATAAAAAAACAATTGTTTAGTTACATTTTTAAAAAACGTTTTTAGTTCATCGAGGACAGTAGGTTATTAGCTAACTAAAAAGTTTTGGAAAAAGTGAATCGGTTAAATACTTCTTTTCTGAGATGTTACACAAACTTGAAAAACGTGGTTTCGAGAAAAACGCGTTTAAAGTTTTCGATACGAAAAAATTATAGTTATTGCAAACTTACGTCAATTAGATGCTAATCTGCCATGTCAGGCCCATATACTAAAAGCCTTCCGCTTCTTCATACGATTGATACGCGTTTAAATTGTCCATTCATTGCTTTTGGATACATTTTGTCGTTTTCGAATGTCTTCTAACGTCCAAACTAACTGAAGTTCGACCGTATACTTACGTGAAGCATTCCTGTTCCATCAACTGTATTTATTGAAATACTTCGAATTTCGGTTTGTTACTTCAGGAACTATATTTTCATGAGTTTTACTATCGATTTATGAAAAAAATCGAAAATTTTGAGTTTGTAAACTGTTCGTGAAAGTGGACTGTATAGAAATAAGATGATTAATATCAATGTTCTTAATCAATTCTTGCTGTATTTGACTCAAAATAAAATGTTTGTTTACATTTATAAATCCGTATCACTCGAGATGCACTCGCGTGGAAGAAAAGAAAACAACTGACTTCCGGCGCTGTCCACCGGTGGGAGAGATGTCACTAGGCATGACTGCCAACACACAAACAAAAAAAATAAAATGCTCTATTGCACTGAATATTCCGCCCCCTTTGAACTATCAAGTTCAACTATGTTGAGTCAGTAGCGTCAATAGGAAGTATAGCTAATGATCTTACATTACGTTTGTACACTCTCCTGCAATTGTTTTTATTGTTACGACACGAATGATATTGTCCAGGATGAATTTCAAGTACTCTTCCCATCGGCCAACTCAAAGGAGGGGAATTGTCCTCTTTGATTAGAACTAGATCGCCAATTGCGATTTTACGTGAACCTGATGATTTCCATTTTGAGCGCTGGTTTAATTCGTTCAAGTATTCTTTGTGCCAACGGTTCCAGAAATTACGCTTTAACTTTTGAATATGTTGCCATGCTGATAAACGAGTCGGAGTAAGTGTAAAATCCGACTCCGGTACAGAAAGCAAGGAGTCGCCAATCAAGAAGTGATTGGGGGTCAAGCTAATTAGATCTTCGGGATTCTGTGAAATTGGAGTTAGCGGCCGGGAGTTTAAGATCCCTTCAGTTTCTATGCCCAATGTGTTGAACTGTTCGAAGGTGAATAATGTATTTTTGGCTATTCGAACTAAGTGAAATTTAAATGACTTTACTGCCGCCTCCCAAATTCCCCCAAAATGTGGAAAACGTGGCGGGATAAACCTTCAGGAAACTTCTTGATTGCTTAACCATTTTGAAATGCCTTGACTAAATGATTCTGATTTGATGAAATCATATAATTCTCGTAAATAATTGCTTGCTCCTACAAAATTTGTCGCATTGTCAGACAGTAAAAGGTCTGACTTTCCTCTGCGACAAAAAATTTTTTCAAGGCTGCACAGAAAGTTTTCATCGTCAAATCACTTACCACCTTTAAGTGGACCGCCTTTGATGCTAAACATATAAAGACTGCTACATAAATTTTAACCTTATTATGATTGTTAAACTTCTTCTCTTTAATAAAGAACGGGTCACAGAAATCTACTCCCACATTTACAAAGGGTCGTGAACTTTGGAATCTTTCGCTGGATAAATCACCCATTTGATATGTTGTGAACTGAGGCTGCATTCTAATACATATTACACACTCGTGAACAATTTTACGAATTCTACTCCTCTCATTGATAACCCAATATTTCTGTCGTAAAGCATATAACGTAGCCTGTGGGTCCACGTGACCTAACAATTTGTAAGTATTCTTTATTATCATGCTAGTGATTACGTGTGCTTCCGGCAAAATGATAAGATGTTTTTGATTGTAAGCAGAGTCGAATGTTTCAAACAACCCCCTACCTGCAGAATGTGATTGAAACCTAGAAAGGGATTTAACGACAGAAACTTACTGTGTTTATTACAAGAATTTCCTTTAATAAGTCCTTGATCTCGATTGCAAAGGTTTGTCGTTGAACGCTTTGGATTATACTACGCATAGCATATTGCAGCTCAGACATTGATAATTCTTCACTTATCCTAGTCTTAGATTAAGAATTACGAATGAATCGGTAGCACCAAGCTATTATGCGTTGAAGTGTATCGATGGTTGAAAAACAATGTAAGGTCCAGGTATCGTTGTTGCTGCTACTGCTGATGAAAGTTTGTAGTTCTGATATATCTGGTATGGATCTTTCTTGATTTGGCCAGTTTTCCTCCTGTTGGCCGAGCCATGGTGGACCATGCTTCCATAAATGTGATTTCATGAGTTGCTTGGGCGTTAATACTCTCGAGATAATATCAGCAGGGTTGTCGTTGGAGGGAACATGTCTCCATTCAAGATGCTTGGTATGCTGCTGAATTTTTGTGATGCGATTCGCTACGAACGTTTTGAGACGATGTGGTGGCGTCTGAATCCATTGTAAGACTATAATTGTGGAATCCGACCAGAGGATGATTCTCTGAAGTGGTAGCCCGATAGTGTCGCGCACAGCGGTGAATAATCGTGACAACAGTAATGCGGCACATAATTCGAGACGCGGAAACGAGATCCTCTTCAAGGGAGCTACTCTGCTTTTTGAACACACTAGATTGACCAAATAAGAACCTTTTTTATTTGTCGGTCGGAGAAAGATGCATGCTCCATATGCTGCCTCGCTTGCATCGGCGAAAGCATGTAATTGAACATTGATGGGATCGGAAATGCAGATTTGTCGAGTGAAAGCTAGTTGATTAATGATTGGTAGTTCATCTCGAATGTGATTCCATTGTAACAGGCACCATGTCATCCCAGCCAAGATGTAATTTCCACAGGGTGAAAGAAATATCTTTGCCGCCACTATAATGGGATCCAATAAACCAAGTGGATCAATGAGAGTTGCTATTTGAGACAATATGACACGTTTTGTAATTTTTGACGGCTCTGGAGTGAGATTGATTCGATACACCAATAGATCCTGTTGTGGAATCCAACCAATACCTAAAGTTTTTTGAACCTTCGTAAAATTTAATAACAGATGTGGATCGTTGTTCTGATGAGTGAACGATTGCATGAATTGCGTATCGTTTGATATCCACTTTCGCAGAACTAAGCCTCCGCTTTGAAGCAGCTGTATAATTTCCTCTTTGAGTTGTAAAGCTTGCTCCAAAGATTGGATTTCTGACAGCAAATTATCTACATACATGTCTCGACTGATAACCTCTGCGCCTCTCGGAAAACGATGCTGTTCTTTTTTCGTTAACTGCAAGAGGGCCCAGGTTGCTAGGAATGGCGCTGACATAGTACCATAAGTAACGGTGTTGAGCTCGAAAATGCGTAATGGCTCCTCTTGACTGTCTCGCCACAGTATTCGTTGGAAGGGACGATCCTCCTTGTTGATCAAAAATTGCCTGTACATCTGTTGTACGTCTGCTGTAAAAACCACCTTGTGAGTTCTAAATTGCATAATGATATCAAAAAGATCATTTTGGACGATGGGTCCTGTCAACATGTCTATCAAGCTAGAATGCCAACATGGGCACAATCATACGAAACACATGGAGGATTTAGTGCTCTTTATGTGCTAATTTGTTGCTGTAATCCCGATTTTTGTGCTCAAGCCGTTTAGCGAAAAATGAGTTTTCTGTTGAATTTTGATAAAGTTAGAATGCATTAAAAAAAAAAATAATAATCAAAATAATAACACTATAATATTGTGATAATTATGTGCTTTTAATAAACCATAATAAAAATATTAGTATTCATCTCCTTTGACCGGTAAATCACCCCCGAAGCGCTCACTCACTTCCCCTTACAAGAGTAAAGTGCCAGTTAAAATGCAGGTAGCGAAATGTTCTTAGGCTCAAATTGTTCCTCCATTTATGTGCTTTCGAAATATGTACGACAAGATTTATGTGTTCATCCCTTTTGACCCCGAAGCGAATAAATCACCCCGAAGCGATCATTCACTTTTCTTTTGCAAATTCTTAACAATTACTCAACAAATTTTTTAAGTAATGTTCAAGAGAACACGTGCTTCAAGAGAACTGCTTCAAGAGAGAAGTAAAGTGCTAGTTAAAATGCAGGTAGCGAAATGTTCCTAGGCTCAAATTGTTCCTCCATTTATGTGCTTTCAAAATATGTACGACAAGATTTTTGTGCTCATCCCCTTTGACCGGTAAATCACCCCCGAAGCGCTCACTCACTAATTTTACTGTACTACTGTACTACTCAGTAATTTTACTATACTTCTTTTTTCATTTTGTATGTAATTTAATAAAGGGGGTGCTCACTTAAGCCAGCATCCCCAGTTTCAATCGCGATTTTTTGATAAATTATTTGAGCACAAGGATTGACACTAGAACACATAATTGGCACGTGAAAAACGTTTCATTCTGGCATAGATAGAATTTTGATTTTTTGTGTTGGGAGGTGTTAGCTTAACGGGTATTAAACAGACGAAAAATATTAATTAATATAATCAAGGTACATTATAATTTAAAGGTAAAGATATTGACCTTAAATTACTGTTTTTTAAAATTCCGTAAGTATACATTTATTCTTTTCATCCATTAACTTTTTAGGCTGTGTTTCAAAGTTGACTGTCACTGAGAATCTATAGTGCACGTAATGTAAACTATAGTATTTTCAGTGCTGGCAGTCATTTTGCAACACAGCCGTACACGTTGTATGTATCTATATGTAATATGTATGATTATGATGGAATAAAAACAGGAATAGTTTTTTTGTTGTATATATTTTTTATCTA